TGAAAATGCAACAAACCCTGATCCTCTGCTTATTCCATTTGGGTCTCGCATAACCTGTAGGTGAAAACATGTCTGTGATACTATAATTACAAATATAAAATTTATTTGTTTATATGAACAGCTCAATATAATCATCATGGAGAAAAAGTATGGTACTTTCTCACACCAGGGGACATAAAGTATAGAAATGGAACTAGACTGAATCGAGCAGCAGGTGGTGGTTTTTGAAAGCCACTGGCACTGATATACAAATCAGCTATGAAAAACCTGTCGTTGGAGATGGCAATACAATCATATATCAGAGAAATCTTGCTGGATACAGGAAGGCAGTCGTTCATTAAACCAGAAAGGCTCCAAAGGATGACAAAACCAACGGGATAATGCATGAGTTTGAGTGATCGATTCCCCTCCTCATGTCAGAAATCATACAGCCAACATGAGGGATACATGGATATTCTTCTGTCTCCAATTGACATAACAACATTTGTTTATTCTTAATATGATTATTAACCAGATTTTTTTTCTTTGTTTTGGTGCAGCAGGAAGACTGGGTTCTGAGCAGGATTCACAAGAAACATAAGAGGTGTTCTAATGTTAATACTAATGTCAGAAATCAAAGAAGTAATGAGGAAAATTCTTCTTTGACAAAAGGTCATATTAATGAAGATTACACAAACCATCAAAAGCTGCATGCTCAAAATGGTTAGCTACTCAAAATTCAAAGCTGCATACCTTGCACGACGTAATCGTACCAAATGGAGAAAACAGCTCCTTAAGCTTCTCATCACCTATGCTATCATCTAAATTTTTGATGTACAAGTTTGCACCCTGAAATTTGTCCGCTGCTTCCTTCATACTCTGCTCAAATCGCTGCTTTAATTCAACTTCCCTTTCATATTTTTTCTGAGCTTTCCCAACAAACCATTCCTTATCATCAATTTTTTTCCCGTTAAGAGCCTCAACTGCTTTAGCAGCATCTTCTGCATTCTCAAAGTTTACAAATCCAAAACACTTGGATTTTCCATCGCCATCCCTCATCACCACAACACTAGTGATGGTTCCAAATTCACCAAAAGTTTTGTTCAAATCCTCCTCAGTTGTTGTTTCAGATAAATTCTTCACAAAGACATTGTTGAATCTCATCTTGTCAGTAGCAGTGTCCCTTTCCTGCTTGCGAAGGAAAGGTCCCACATAAACTTGCTTATCATTCAACAGCATGCCATTCAGTTTCTCAATTGCCTTTTGGGCAGCTTCTTCACTGTCAAACTGCACAAAACCATAGCCTTTAGACTGGCCAGATGGGTCAGTAGCAACCTTGCAAGAAAGGATGTTCCCAAATGCTGAAAAAGTATCATGCAAAGCTTTGTGGTCAATTGCCTTGTCCAAATTCTGTCAAGGAATGCATTCAAGTCAGACAAGAAACAGAAATGGAACTCGATGAAGCCAAAAAAAATACAAATAACCATAGCAACAAGCAAATTGACCTGTAATAAAATACAAATACCTTAATAAATATATTTCCAGCCCCACTTTTGCGAATAGTTGGGTCACGATGAGAATACATAACCCTGATTGGACTTCCATTCAGGGGAGTAAAATTCAGCATTTCCAATGCCCTCGCAGCTGTAAACATGTTCCACACAAAACAGAAGTGAACGGATGGAATTTAACACAACACACCAGGAAGACCAAAAAACATTGACACTCTACATTCTCTACATGCAAAACATTAAGGGTGTCAATGCATTCATTATTTGTTATCAAATTCAACCAAGTCTTGATTTCTAAGAACATATAAATACTCTTCAAAAGTCATGATACCCAGTTGAAAACCCCTCCCAAAAATTATGAAGTTCGAAGGTACATAAAACACCACAGTATCATTCAGACCCATTAAAACCATTCAATTAAATACAACATCAACACTAAAAACTAACAGAAAACCACTCAATTAAATAATCTTCGTTTCTCCACTTAATAATCACCCACTAAAAACCAAAAACTTAAAAAAAAAAAAAGGCAATCAAAAATGGAAACTGACCATCTTGAGGATTGCTGTAGTTAACATAACCATAGCCAAGGGACCTACGGCTCGTCAAGTCCCTGCAAACCCTGACTGAAACCACTTGACCCACTTGATTAAACAGATCATACAGCTGGGAATCAGTCACACTTCCTTCCAGATCACCCACGTAAAGCGACGTCGTCACAAAATTAGGGTTATTAGCCCCTGCATTCACGCTCTGTGGTTGAACTGGTACTTGAACTTGTGCCATTTCCGTTTCTTTTTTGCTTTTCTCGGGAGAAGTTTTGATTTTTTGTGGGTTTTGAAATAACTTCCCTCTCCTCTTTTTATTACAAGAATAAAAAACACACAAGCCAACTGTTTAATAAAATGCCTAAGAGAGAAGTTTTGATTTTTTTCTTTTGAATTATGTTTTTTTTTTTGTTCTATGGAGGAGAGGGAAGGTGAAGGAGGAGGAGGAGATATTGGCCGCCGGATAAGAAGTGGTGGTGGGGGCGGCGGAAATATTGAGAGAAGGGGAGGGAGGGATAGAGAAAGAGAGAGAGTGCAGTGGTGGGAGCTGCAATAAAAAAAAGGGACGAATGTTTGGGGGCTGAGAGAGGGTTCGAGGGTTATATGTAAAAACCCTAAGATTGTGTGAGGGAGAGGTATCAACCATCGGATTTGATGGAGTGTGGGGTCCAGATGAGGTCAAGTGGGTAACTGCAAGTATAAAACTTAGGCAGTGTTTGAATAATTTTTTTTTTTGTTTTTTTGTAAATTTTAATTTTGATTTTTTTAGTTTTTTAAAATTATTTTTTCTTTTTAATTTCACTTTACAACAAATATAAAATTTATTTTTTATTTTTATTTTTATCTTAAATTTTTATATTAAAATTAATTTTTTTAATTTCATCATTCAAATTAAAAATTAAGTTTTATAGTTTTTTTAAATATAGTATTTTAAATCTAATAACTTTAATAACAAATTTAAAAGAGTAAATATGAGTTAATAATTTTGTTTTAAAAAATTAGTTTTATAATTTTTTATTATATTATTTTATTCTCATTATTTGAATAGTAAATTTAAAGGGATATATAAGGGTGACCGAAGCTGATAATTAAGATTACAAACAAATTCGTATTTCTAGTTGATCATAGCTTATTTTTTAGAGTATTTTTTTACTTTATTTTCTCTTACTATATTCAATAAGTTATGAATTAAGTTGCGTCGTTTGCTATATTTATTTTTAATGAGAGTATTGGATATTTCCTGAGCATAACAACAGGATTCACATTATATTTATGACTTCCAATTATGAGGCGGACCGAGTCCACCAAATAATTTATCAATCTACCACGGGGGCTAACATATGGACCCCCCCTCCCGACATGGATTGGAGATCTGGTTTGATAGTCGGTGATTTTAGATTTTGACCAGATTATTAGGTTTTGACTGAATTACTAAATAATTTTGATTAAATTTTATTTTTTTATAAAAATTTAAAAGATATCATTTTAATAAAAAAATAAAAATTAATAAGTTTGTAATTAGATTACCTACAAGATTTGCTGGGTTATACTAAGTTTTTTTAACCTAATTTAAATTTAAATTTAATTTTAAATTAACTAAATTCTAGATTAACTTTAAACTATGCATTTTAACGGAAGACTTGTAAAGCATAGGGATACGCTGTATAGTAAAAAAATAAATAAAATAGTAAAGACCCGAATCTGTTCCGTGAAAAAAACAATATCGAGGATGCTGACAAGACAGTCAATTTAAATCAACATGCCATGTCAGTTTACAAGCCTAACAAGCAATGTATTGATTTGTTGTCTTCCACGTCAACAAAAATGTAAGCATGAACTTCCAGATAGGCATCGCATCGCCTGAGGTTGTTTGGAAGGCCTCTCTTTTTTTCTTTTTCTTTTTTTCTTTTTGGGGTTATCCACATTCTTCTCGAAAAGTTAGACTAATCGAGTTCGAAATCTGTACTCTTAAAATCCAATCAATGTACGCTTCCGGTTTTTATATTTCACAAGTCAGGGTCAATTAGCACCTACACGA